GAGCATGGACATCGTTGAGTCTAACCCTCTACACAGGAGTGTCCAATCTTTTGGCTTCCCTGGGCCACATTGGAAGAAGAATTGTCTTGGGTCACACATAAAATACACTAACACTTATGATAGCTGATGAGCTAAAAAAAAAAAAAAAAAAAATCACACACACACCCCCAAAAAAACCCCAAACTAATAATGTTTTAAGGAAGTTTAAGAATATGTGTTGGGCTGCATTCAAAGCTGTCCTGGGCTGCATGCGGCCTGTTGGTTGGATAAACTTGCCCTATAGTCACTTTACAGACAGGGAAACTGAGTCCCAGAGAAGCCTCAGGTGGTGGAGTCTTTGTACAAGAAGCATTGAGACCACCATTAGGTAAGAGCAAGTAGTTCTATGAAGGCTTTCTATATCAAAGCCTGCATTCGCCCAACGAACATTTACTGAGTGTCTACTGTGTGTCAAATGCTAGCTGGGCTATGCAGTGGGGGATGTTCAGATGAGCAAGAAATAGTTCTCTCCTGGAATCACTAACCAGATCTGAGGTGGAGGGGCTGGGGAGAAAAAAGGAGCAAAGAATTACATAGAATATTCACAAAGACAATGAGCAAAAGAGCACTGGAGTAGGAGTCAGAAAGTCCATGTGGCTACTATCAACTGTGTTTCTGGGCAAGTGACAGGGTTTCTGAGTCTTGACAATCCTGTCTGCAAAATGGATGTGATAACTTGAGCCTGGCCTAACCCACAGAACAGATGTCTGGAGAACCACTCTGTAATTCTAACATGTAATAAATATGTAAGTGAAGATATTTTGATAAATGAATACATATATTGATTTCAAACAAATGCATTTGTACCAAGGTAAGGGACTGGCAATTGGGGAAAGGATTATACATAACCCCTTAGCTGAAGGGTGCCCTGGGCAGATGTACAAAAGAGGAGATAACACAGTCTGAGTGGCCAGAGGGGGCCAGACTGGGGGCAGCACAGAAAGAGGAAGAGGAAGAGGTGAGAGGAGCACCATTTCCTTCCTGTTGTGCCGTCAATGGAGCATGTTAGGAAGATCTGAGTTTCTGGCGTAACAGCGAATCAAAGTGAGTCAATGTGGGCTCTAAACCAGGCTTCTAAATTGGAGGGCAAGTTTGTAGCCTAGGAATTCAGAGTTTTAAGGCCCTAGAGAAGGACTGGACTGACTCCCTCATGAGTGAAGCTAGAATGGGGTGAATTTTGCCCAAGGAAGACAGAGAAATAAGAGAGAAAGAAACAGTGAGACAGAGGATGAGGCAGGGCCAACCCAGGGCTCTCCCATCAAAAACCAGGCTGTCAAGAGCTGGCAGACTCAAGAAGGAACAATCAGAGCATGAGACTGGTGGTGCTGGAGGGAGGATGCCTGATGGAGAGCGGGGGCGGGGGGCATGGTTCTGGGGCTACCTGGCCAGGCTCAGCCCTTCCTGGAACTCTTTGCCTGTGGAGTCAGGACTGACTCTTCTGACTGCAACCTGCCCATTCCAGGAAAAAGACTGGCCCTTGTTGGGAAGATGCCTCGGTGAGTTTCAGGGAAATGGGAAACCTGGTTGCTCCCACAAAGGCTCAGAGGTCTCCCAACCACCTACCCTGCATACCAGGGAGTGTCTGACGTGCTATGGCTGGGGAGTGACATTGAGGGAGTGACTTAGCCGTGGGTCACATCTCATTAGGAAAAGCAGCTTAACAGGAAACAGATGGGTTGAAATATTTTAAAAGAGGGTGAGACAATTTGAACAGCAAGATAAATAATGGGAGTCATAGAATAAAATAAATACCCATGAGTTCATACTAATATAAATACATAAGAAGAAAGTCCAACTCTTTAAAAAAAATTTTTTTTTGCACTCTGTTGCCCACGCTGGAGTGCATGGCACAATCTTGTCTCACTGCAGCCTCCACCCCCCAGGCTCAAGCAATCCTCTCAACTCAGCCTCCCAAGTAGCTAAAACTACAGGTGCATGCCACCACACCTGGCTAATTTTTGTAGTTTTTGCAGAGACAAGGTTTCACCATGTTGCCCAGGATAGTCTCGAACTCCGGGGCTCAAGCCATACCTGCCTTGGCCTCCCTCCCAAAGTGCTGGGATTACAGGCAGGGGACACTGTGCCAGGACCAGCTTTTTCTTATAATACAATTCTAATTAATACATGTAGAAAGAATGATGGAAATAGAATATCACCATTTGGAAAATACCACAGTAATAATTATTGTTGGCAAGTATAAATGGATGCAAAAATTAGTGGACAAAAGCGTGTGAGAAATAGAATATTTGCATAGTCTCAAAGTAGCAAGATATTTATTAATTACAAAAGAGTAAAGAGTAATTTCACAGTGGAAAAACTTGTTAGATACCACGTTTTTCAAGTGATCAAAGTTAACATCACCAGGAAAGAGGCATCTTGAAATTATGTACCTCTGATATGTATACTGAGGACATAAGATCACTTCTGTGGTGTTCCTACCCAAAATACATAACCTCAGTCTAATCCTGAAGAAACACCACACTGAAATTTAGGGACATTCTAGAAATGAACTGGCCAGCACTCTTCAAAACTGTCAAGGTCATGAAAGACAAAGCAAGACTGAGGAGCTGCCCCAGAATGAAGAGACAAAGGAGACACAAGAACCAAGTGCATTCTGGCTTAGATCCTGGGCCAGAGAAAGGACATTAGAGGGACAACTGTTGAAATTTGAATAACGTGTGTAGATTACTCAACAGCATTGTGTCAATGTTAATTTCCTGGTTTAGATTATTATTCAGTACTGTGCTTATGTAGATATGTTAAAAGTAAAATCTTAGAGGCCGGCCGCTGTGGCTCACGCTTAGAATTCCAGCACCTTGGGAGGCTGAGGCAGGAGGATCACTTGAGCTCTGGAGTGCGACACCATCTTGGCCAACATGGTGAAACCTTGCTTCTATTAAAAATATGAAGATTAGCCAGGCATGGTGGCAGGCATCTGTAATCCCAGCTACTCAGGAGGCTGAGGTAGCAGAGTCGCTTGAACCTGGGAGGCACAGGTTGCAGTGAGCTGAGGCTGAGCTCACAGCATTGCACTCCAGCCTGGGCAACAGAGTGAGGCCCTGTCTCAAAAAAAAAAAAAAAAAAAAAAAGTAAAACCTTAGGCAAACTAAACAGAGTTTAATTGAGCAAAGAACAATTTGAGAATCGGGCAGCCTCCCAAACTAGATTAGGTTCGGAGAAACTTGGGTGCTGCTGCATGTGGAAGAAGACTTGTGGACAGAAAAGGAAAGTGATGGACAGAAAATGGAAGTGAGGGACAAACAGCTGGATTGGTTACAGCTTGGCGTTTGCCTTATTTGAACACAGTTTGAATGGTTGGCCACATGTGATGGGCTGAAACTCTGTAATTGGCATAAGTTTAGCCTTAGGCTAAACTTAATTTAACTGATGGTAATATTAGGGGAAGCTGACAGACAGGTGTCCAGGAATCTTGTGCTTTATTTTGCAAGTCTAAAAATAATTTTAAAATAAGGATGTACAAAAGAGGGGAGGTGAGGGAGAATAAAGAAGGAGCCCAGGTCCTACAACTTAGCTGCTCTGTGGGAGGGACCCAGGACCCTGTGGCTCTTGTTGGGCAGCACCTTGGGTCCCTCTATTGGAAACTAGTGTTTGGCCTAGAGAAACTCAGAGGCCCCACTTGAAAGGTCCCCTGCTTCCCTCTGCCTGAGTAAAAATCCATCACAGTCTTAATGTCCATTCTTGGTAGCCTGTGGACCCCAGAGAAAGGCAAATGTCTAAGTCCATATCCATCTTCTTGGGACATTCCATTCTCTGATGCCTGTCTGAGGGACTATCCCTATCCCCAATAAAGATGCAAAAACTGAGGCCCAGAGAGGTGAAGGCACCATCTCTAGGTCACACAGCCAGTAAATGCAGAGCCAGATCCAAGCCCAGCTGTGTGTGACTCCAATGCCATGCCTTTAACCACCTGACATTACTGCTCTATTATTGCTCAGTTCAGGTGGAGACAATAGGCATTTACCAAGCACTTGCTGTGTGTCAAGGGGGCAGTGGGACTGGAGGTGAGGGTGGCTGAGATACTGATCCTGGACCGCAGGTGCTGCACTGGGAAGGCGAACTCCCATACTGCTAAGCATGTGGCAGGCAATGTATCATATATCCACAGTCATTCATTCACTCACTCATTCAGTCTCTGGCCTGTCCCTGGGCTCTGGTTGGTGGGTCTGATATGGTCCTTCCCCTGAGAGCTCCTGACCCAGCAGGGGAACAGACAGTTAAACAGTAGGCTAACCATACAGAGATGCCATGACGGGGAGTCAGGGAGAAGGGAAGGAAAGAGGGAAGATGATTAGGAAAGTCTGGGAGATGAAACTATTGGTGACACAGTGGGTGTAGCAGACACAGCCCTGCTCAGTGGGAATTATGGCCAGAAAAAGAGATTGGGTGGAGTTTAGAACTGGGGCAGAATGGGAGTGAGATCTTGCTGAGAAGGTATCCAGGATGAAGAAGCTGGAGGCAGGATCTCTGAAGGTGATGTTGGGAAGGCCCTTCACGTAGACACAGGGTAAGCAAAGGCCTGGACGTCTGGGATGGGCTGTTAGTGGACTTGACCCAGCTACCAGGGAATCATTCCAGAGAGGGGATACATGCTTTCCAAACACTGTCTTTGGGGGATGCTCTTTTATAGGGTGGGAGGTCATCTGAGCTTGACTCTTATCAATGAGAGAAATAGCTCACGGCTATGCAGCTGAGATGAGGGCTGGGGCAAGGGCAAAGGGATTTTTTTTTTTTCCGGTTGAAAGCAGGATATACGCAGGCTGCTGTCCAGAGAGGGGATGAGTACATGGAGAGGAATTACGCTCTCTCTGCATTTCCCTGAGGAAGAGGCACCTGGGCACTGCTCTCTCCTTTCAGGCTTGTGGTGGACCTTCCCAAGCAAGTCATTCTGGCTCCGGTAGGTTATAGCCACACTCGGGGTGGGGCGTGGGGGTGGGACAGCCCAGGGGCCACAGGGAGAGACTGAACCCAGTGGCTTGGGGAGTGGGCACAGGTGCTGGGAAGAGGGAGGTGCTAAGTCAGTGCAGAGCTTTCTCTCCAGGGCAGCTGTTAGAGCAATTGCTTCCAGCACCTTGAGAGTGATGGGTCTTCTGACCTCTTTCCCCTCCTTGACTCTGGCTCTGAGAATCTGCTTTGCAGATTCTGAAAACCCCTGAGAGTTGGTTCTCCAACCTGGCTGGGGGAGCTCAGGCATTCCTTTCCATCTCTGGGCCTCAGTGTTAACAGCTGTAAGATAATGGGGCAGATGAGATGGTCTTTAAGGGCCTCTCTCCCAGGGCCAAAGTTTCACAGCTCTGTGGTCTCTTCTTTTGCACATGTCCACCCTCTCCCTGTCCTCCTCCTTTCCCAAATTCTTGGTCCCTTCCTTCTGCCCAAAACAGTTCCAGATTCAAATAGTCCCTGGATCCCCTCCCACGCATTCCAGCCTGAATCAAGTGTCATTTAATCAGCGAGTTTATTCATTTTAGGGGCTGGAAGAGAACCAATAGCATATGCCAGGCCCTTAGTTTACCATAATAACCCTGCAAGGGAGGCATATTATAGGTGAGAAAGCTAAGGCTCAGAGAGGTTAAATTATGAGCTCAGAGTTGCACAGCCATTAAGAAGTGAGTTAAGCTGTATTCTGTCTGTTCTACCCTGCCTATTCTGTCTATTCTACCATGCTGAGTGTCCTGCCCTTTCTGGGGATGGTGAGGTTTCAGTTTCATGCTGAAATACACACGCAAGGAGTTCTCACGGGGACATTTCAGGCAACAAGGAGAGAGGCAAAAAACAAAACATCAAAAAACATTCTAGGAAAGACATGAAAGTCTCACCTTCTGCAGCAGCAGCTCCTTGAAGGGTCGGGCTCTAAAAGTGCTTGCTTTTTGTTAGCTGAAATAAGCTTTGGGAGGAGGGTTACTCCTGTGATTTTATACACGTCACAAACATCTCTATTTCCTGACCAGGCCAGGAAACATTAAGTGATGTGGGGTCCCAGGGAGCATGGGGAGCAGGCCGGCCTCACATATCTCAGGAGCTATGTCTAGCTGGAGGCTGCAAGGGGACTCCTGCCCTGCTGAGGAATGGATGAGGCCACTCCCTTCCAGCCAGACTTTGTGTAATCTGGTGTACCAGATGTGGCTCTGGCATGAAAGCAAACAGGATACACTAAGATGTTCCTGTGGGTTATTTTTGCAATGGTAGCATCACAGGGGACTTTTGTTTTTGTTTTTTGGCCTCTTTCTTATTTTTCCACTGTATTTCTACATTTTACAATGAATGTATATTATTATGGTAATCAGGAAAAAATAACATGTTAAAAAAGTAAGGAGAGAGAGCATGCAGTGATCTGGAATCAGAGGCCAGCTAATTCCTCTGGCCAGCTGTACCTGCCTTGCAGTGTGGCCCTGGAGTTCCTGGGAAACCAGAGAGGCGATACCTGTTCACCCCTTCACGAGGGAGCCAGGAAGACACAGCAATGACTGGGATAAAAAAAGGGTATCTGGAAACACAAAGCCTTGTGTAAGTGTCAGGACTGGTTTTTGTTATCTTCATTGTGTTTTATAAATCACGATCCAAATACGCTTCCCATGCAGACCACCCAGAAGGCAGCTGTTCATCCTGCAAGCCCAAGGAAGGGGCGCACACAGGCTGAACTCCCAGTGTGTGATTTGGGGCTCCAGCTCTGGAGCCAGCTGCAGGAACTTGGTTTCCAGTTCTGCCGTATGCTTGCTGTGTGTCCTTGGGCACATTACTCCCCTTCTCTGTGTCTCAGTTCCTCATCTGTAAAATGGGGCCCATTTTATAAGGTTATTGTGAGAAGTCAGTGCATTATTACGTATAAAGCCCAGGGGAGGGGATCCACAACCTAGTTGTTATTACTGTTATTTTTTTGAGACAGGGTCTTGCTATGTTGCATATGCTGGTATCAAACTCCTGGGCTCAAGGAATCCACCAATCTCAGCCTCCCAAGTAGCTGGGACTAGAGGTGCACGCCACTGCACCTGGCTGTGCTTACTATTTTCTTTGAGTTGTATTGTAACCTAGCATTTAAGAGCATGGACGCCCGGTTTCAAATCCTGGCTCTACTACTCAATTGCTCTGTGATCTTGGACCAGTTCTCTAACTTCCCTGTGTGTTAGTATCCTCAGCTCTAAAACAGGGCTAATAATAGTATTTACTTCTATCAGGTAAATGTGAGGATTAAATAAGTTAATACATTTAAAGCCCTTACCCTAGATTGTATTTTAAAGGAGGATATGATTTCCACATTCAAAGGAAGCCAGCAAAAATATTTCCACTAGAAGTGATCTCAAATGGTGTCCTTGGTTTCATATTTCAAAGGCTGGTGTGGCCTCTGGAGATCACATTCAATCTTGTTTATTTGATCAGCTTGCATGCCGAATCAGCTGCACTGTGAACAGTACACTCAGCATGGGTGTGCTTTCAGCACCTGAGGGACCTACATGTGACCCTGTCCATAGGCTTCTTGGCTGTGGGGAGGGTGGTCGTGAAATTGATGTTTAAGGTGGAAGAGGGGAGATGGTGGGAGACACAAAAGAGGGTTCAGTGAGTCAAGCAGGGTTTGGTCAAGCTGTGTGGGGCCTGATCAGGGGAGTGCTGGTGAAGGTTTGATAACCAGCTCTGGGCTGGGGGCACAGGGGAGGTAGGATGGCAGAGGAGAGGAAAGCCTTGATTTATAGCTTTTGTCATGGTGTAAATATTCCCAGTTTCAAGTTACCAACTTAACATCACTGAACGCAGAGTTGGTTAATTCCATGATCATTTGTTTAATGCCTCCCAGATGCCATGACTGGCTCTCAGCACACTACTGGCTTTGAACCTTCCTCCCACTAGTTGCTGAGGCCAGAAGTCCCACTGTCGGAACCTCAACCTTCGAATTTAAGTTTGATCCATTTTGAAAGGGAGTGTGGGGAGGACGGGGTCATCACTTCCACCTCACATTGTGAGGGCCATCCAATCCCCAGCCCCCAATTTGCTAATCTGAGGCTGTGGACAATTGGGCTTCACCTGTCCACACCTGTTTCTTTATCTGGAAAGTGGGGATTATACTCACTTTGCTTCCCAGGACGATGGCGAAGATAAGGTGAGAAAATTACATGTGAGTGTTCAACTCATAGAAGGAGCCCAACTAACATGGCTGCATCCTCGTCCCAATATCCTTCCTCTTGTTGCCTCAACTGCGACTTTCCTGAGAGACCTAAGGGAGGGGAGCCCTGGATATCTCCCAGTGAGGGTAAGATCCTGGACAAGCAGCAAAGACTCAATCACATCTTTCTCTTTTTTTCTTTTTTTTTTCTTTGAGACGGAGTTTCACTCTTGTTGCCCAGGCTGGAGTGCAGTGGTGTGATCTCAGCTCACTGCAACCTCTGCCTCCCGGGTTCAAGTGATTCTCCTGCCTCAGCCTCCCAAGTAGCTGGGATTACAGGCACCTGCCACCACGCCGGGCTAATTTTGTATTTTTAGTAGAGACGGGGTTTCACTGGTCTCAAACTCCTGACCTCAGGTGATCCACCCACCTCGGCCTCCCAAAGTGCTGGAATTACAAGCATGAGCCGCTGTGCCTGGCCTTCAAGGATGAGGTGGGACCAGGGACAAGGCACCATGTGCCTGGAGTCTGAAGACCTGGATTTCAGATGCAGCTTGGCTAGTGACTTCCTGTGTGACCCTGGTAAAGTTGCTTTGCTCCTGGATTAAATGGGGCTGATGGTTCCTTCCCGATTTGCCTTACAAGGCTACGGCAGTGCATATGAAGGTACCTGGCCAGCTGTAACATGCATATGGGAGTGCTGACTGCTGCTGTCATTGTTGGCATTATTGATGAAAGTGATAGGAGGGGATGGTTGCTCCAGAGGTGAGGGAGACCTGGAAAGATTCCCAGAGTCAAAGATCGGGGTAAAGGCCTGATTGCTGTTACCACTGTTGTTGGCATTATTGATGAAAGTGATAGGAGGATGGTTGCTCCAGAGGGAAGGATGACCTGGAAAGATTCCCAGAGTGAGAGATCAGGAGGGTAAAGGCCTGATTGCTGTTGTCATTGTTGTTGGCTTTACTGATGAAAGTGATAGGAGGATGGTTGCTCCAGAAGTGAGGATGACCTGGAAAGATTCCCAGAGTGAAAGATCAGGAGGCTAAAGACCTTGAGTGGGAAGGGGATAGAGTGTTCCGTGTAGAGGGAGAACAAAGATGGCCTGGACTAGCAGGGTCTGCTGACTCTGACCTCTGGCTTTGATTGAAACATTCATCAGACTTGGTTGTTTGCTGAAACAAAAGTCAGGGGGCTTTGAGAAATCAAGTCAAGATCAAGGTCCATGTCAGCAGCTCAGAAAAGCTGGTGTTTAATCAATGTCACCTCCTGAGTAATAAGCCCTGATAAGGCCCGAGTACACTCCTCACATCCTCCTTCTGCAGCAGCTCACAGGCTCCCAGCTCCAGCCATATGCTAGGAGTGTCCTTGCTGCTGCCCAGAAAAGGGAGGAGTTAAAGGCCAGGAGGCCCCTGGTGCAGAGGAGAGGACAGGAAGAACAGCAAAAAACAAAACAAAACAAAACAAAAGGCACTGGGTAAAGTTCCTGAGGTTGATCAGGAACAGAGCTGGGCCTTAGATAAAGCCACTCAGGCTGAGCTCTTGCGGTGGGGACAGGTCATGTGTGGTTTCCATAGCATCTGGTCCAGATGCCATTGGATAGGAGCCCAAGGGTGGGGCAGAGGCTCACAGAGTGGGAGGACTCTAGGACTCCCTCAGAAGAGGTTCTGCTTCAGTAGCACTGAATTGTTCCACCAGCCATGAGATCATGGTATCACAGATACTTTGGGCCAACTGAGGACCCAAGTCAACATTTATTCCGAAGTCTGCCTGAAAAAAGGGGATAAAACTTTTATCAGAAAGGGCTAAGGAAAATGTTTGCAATATATATGAAAAAAGCTAACATCCTCACTATTATAAGGCCTCATAAAATGAGCATCCCACCCATTAAAAGAATAAATAATTTACAGAATAAATACAAGGGGGTATTGAACATATTAAAAAGTTCAAGCTCATGCAAGTAAAATATTAAAAAATAAAATCCAGAAGTATGGGGTAGAACTGATTTGCATTTTTCAGTTTGTGGCCCGTGACCCTGAGTAGTCTACAGGCCCCTCTTCAGTGGCTCTTCACAATTGCCTGCTGGGGCCACAAATTCCTTTTTATCTCCTTCCTCTCTCCTCCTCAAGCCCCCTTCCCCATGGGTGAATGCTCTTTGTTCAACATGAAGTCTGTCTTCCCCTCTCCTTCTCCTGGAACACACTACAAGTTTGAGCCTAATTCTTAGTTCATGACATACTTGTATCACTGGTTTATGTGAAGCTCTCATCAAAAAATTATTTTAAACAAAGCAATAAAATTCTGGGATGTCACTGCCTTAGATAACACTTGACCATGGACAGTGACTCATCCCATCTCCATGGTCCACCCCAATCCCATGCTGCTGTCTTCTGCCCAGGCACCTGCCATCTTGAATTTGGTGCCTCTCATTCCTATGCCTTCCTGTTATCTATTTGTACGCCTTCAAAAGTATATATGTTTTGTTTCATTTGTCTTAATTTCATTAAAAGAGTGTCATGTACATATTTTTATGGGACTTAGAGACAAGTGGGCTGATTCAAGAGGAGAGACTCACAGGGTGGTTGTGAGGGTGAGGAGGAAAGAATCTGCAAGATATCCCATGTTTCAGTCTTAGGTGACTGAGTAGTTGGTGGAGTCATTCAGTTAGATAGGCCTAGGAAAGAAGAAAGGGGCTGGTAGGGAGATGATGAACTCAGTTCTGGGCAAAGCAATAATTTAAGCTCGCATTTATTGAATGCTTGCTATGTTCCAGTCAGTTTTGTGGAACTTAAAGTGCTCTGCATGTATTATCATGTTTAAGAACATCACAAGATAGGCACAGTTATTATTTTCATTTTAAGATGAGGAAACTGAGAGTTAGAAAAGTTTAGTAGGTTCCGAGCTCATCAACATGATGGATCACACCTTTCTGCTACAAACAGAAATACTGGATAAAATATTTAAAATATTAAATATTTGTCATTGAAAATATTTATATGAGGCCAGGCGCGGTGGCTCACGCCTGTAATCCCAGCACTTTGGGAGGCTGAGGCAGGCGGATCATGAGGTCAGGAGATCGAGACCATCCTGGCTAACATGGTGAAACCCCCTCTCTACTAAAAATACAAAAAATTAGCTGGGTGTGGTGGTGGGTGCCTATAGTTCCAGCTACTCAGGAGGCTGAGGCAGGAAAATTGTTTGAACCTGGGAGGTGGAGGTTGCAGTGAGATCGTGCCTTTGCCCTCTAGCCTGAAAAGGAAGGGGAGGGTTTCTCAAAAAAAAAAAAAAAAAAAAAAGAAAAAGAAAGAAAAGAAAATATTGATATGAAACTATTTACAAATAAAATATTTAAAAACTCTCAAAAAGCAAGGGAAATCCTCAGGTGACAGGAGTAAAGAAAACCCAAAGCCAGGGT